TGAGTCTCCTGCTGCTGTCCCGTCCCATACCTACTCCCAAAACATGCAGTCCACTGAGGCAAACTACAACAGAACATTTACGACCAAAAGTTACAAACAGTAAAAGAGAACATCAGGAGACCTAAGAAATGATAATAGCTCCGCTCGGTGTGGGTTTGCTAATGTGAGGAACCTAGTTCAGAACTTGCTTAGATGCCACTTCCAAACCTCTCAACAATACTGCATTGAGAGAGATGAATGGTGAGACCTGAGGAGGAGACGTTTGTCTCAACACTGCCATCAGCATAGCTCTGTGCTTCCTAGAAACCAGGGGGAAAAGGGAAATAAAGCCAGAAAGGGAAATACAGAAGTTTTCCTTGGCATCTGGAGGAACTGACCGTTCTGTTCCTTATGCGAGGGCTGAAGAGTAACATGGGTTTGCCTTGCAAAGTAGATCCAGTCCCCAGGTGGTAGGGAGCAGTGCTCCCCACAGATCTTCACCTGATCAGGAAAGGAAGAAAAGGTGCTAAGACTTGAGTTTTTCAGAGGCCAGTATGGTGCTTCCTTCTTCAGCACTAGCTTAAAAGGAGAGGAGGGTTCTGCTTTGCTTTGACTAGAAGCATTAAAGATCAGTAGTTTTAATAAAGAAAGTACAGTAAAGATGCTCTACCACTTGTAAATCTCATGGAGAAAGGTAGGAGGCTTGGGAAAGGGCAGGCGGCCAGGTCCCACCCCAGCTTGCTGCATCAGGCTCCATGGCAGGGACCTGGATGCCTGAGGAAGCGTCACCACCAAGCGATGCTGACGCTGCAGCTTCCTAACGGAAACAGTCCCGAGCCCAGCCACAGCCTTCCTCTGTGCAGAGGGAGAGACCGAAAACCCAAAATGGGGACCAACTTATGCAAGGTCTCCTGATAAGTCCACAGAGCAGCTCAGGTCTGGAGCTTCTTAAAATTAAGTTCAGCATTGGGCAAAATACCGAACTGCCATGCAGCAGCTGCAGGCTGGCTCTGAGATTGTTCATACTATGTCAGGGAATAGTCTGTAGAGGACAGAGGATGTATATTTGTTGATTACAGAAATCGTGAAACTGACATAGGATTTAATGGAACACTAGTTGTGGTGGTGCACCCATGTCATCCCCGCACTTGGGAGGCTGAGGTAGAAGGATTGCAGCGATTTCAAGGCCAGCATGAACGACACAGTGAGACCCTGTCTCAGCACCCCACACACACACAAAAAGATTTTTGGTTGGAGTAGTAGAAAACCAAATTCAGGTGACATAAGCAGTAAAGACTGTTTTCCAGGCCTGCACACCTGTAATCCCAGCCTTCTGGGAGGCCAAGACAAGAGATTCAGCCTAGGCAACTTAGCGAGACCTTGTCCCCATATGAAAAATTTAAAAAAAGAGCTAGGCTGGAGATGAAGGTCCTGGGTTTCATTTCCATTTAAAAAAAAATAGCAATGGTTATAATGCTATAGATGCAGAGTGCTGCATAGTTCCCAGGTCCACCACTCTCTCGTAGTAGTAAAGACAGCTACCAACAACTCCCCAATGACATGTGCTTCTACTGCCACTGAGCCAAATGGGACTCGAGCCCCGAATCAAGTCCTGTGGCCAGGTGAGTGCTATATTCTAATTAGCATGGGGCTCAGAAACCAGCCCAATCGCTGCAACCCAGGGAATAACAAACTGATTAGCTTGGAACTGTCCAGGGCCATCCTTGCAGCAGTGGTGGGCTCGTCCAAACTAGGCGGGAGGAGCTGCAAGGAGAGAGAGGCTGCCACAATGTCAGCCACCTGCAGAGGGCGCTGTGGCCTCCTTGCTCAAGTGCAGTGAAATCAGAGTGTGACAGCATCTTCTGATGGTCTTTGAAATGAAGATGGCATGAGTGGTTGTGGTGTAACTTTTCTTTTTTTTTTTTTTTTTTTTTTTTTTTTGTCTTTTTCCTTTTTATTGGTACCGGGGATCGAACTCACGACCGCCTGCTTGCAAGGCAGGCACTTATGCCACTGAGCTAAATCCCCAGCCCGGTTCTGGTGTAACTGATAGCTGGTATTGGGCCAGAAGGACAATAGGAAACGACTGTCACCCCCTCCCTTGCGCCCCTAAGGAGGTTGTGTGCATAGGTGCTGTAAACTAGCACTTGCTCCTCAGCCCTTGAGAGGCTTTGGCCCTGTGTTCCAGCATGGGTCTGGTAGGACTGGCTGTGTCCTCGAACACCTCGTCTAGCTGAGTGTGCAGGCCTAAACTGCTCAGAACCAAAGGCAGCCCGACCCTGCCGCCCGCTTCCCCAAGCCCAAACCTGAAAGCCAGAGCTTCACATCTTCCTTCCTTGCAGGCAGAGAAAGGATGGAACCCAGAAAGGGGAACAAGAGCCAGCAGAAAACCTTTGGCTCAGGCCACCCTTCACCTTTCCAGACAACGCAAAAGCCCCAAACCCCCTAAACCCCAGAGAGTAAAGACCATCTGCAGAGAGAGCCCTCCAATCTGCTCAAAAAACAATGCAACAGGTCACACTTGTGCGCGGTGGTTCTTAGTACAGAGCAGTAGGCATCTGAAACTCTGCACAAGAACGTCCTGTCCTGGAGCAGATGACTCAAGCAAAATGCTAGCGCTCTGGGAAGAGGAAGTGGCAGCCGTGGAGGACAGAACTCTTGGGGGGAGAGGTGAGGAATGCTTGCTGGGAACTCACCTATGGAGGTCCCTCAAGGGAGCTGGGGCAGATCGTGGGCACCCTAACAGCCTCTCTGTTTTCATGCAGTAAGTTCTGCACCCCCATTCCACAGGGAGCAGGTGAGGCTCCTGTCTCAGGGGTGGGAGTTTCTCACTAGCGAGTGAAAACAGGAAACATGTTTAGACTCAGACCGAAGGTGGCTCTGGTATGGTGCAGACTGGTTTCTGAGCTCCCTGCTGCTGCTTTTAAACCGAGGAAAGGGCCAGCTGCCAGCTCCAGCTTATGAAGTCAAGCTTCTAAATTCCACAAAAAGCCAGGTGCGGTGATACAGTCCTGTACCCAGGCACCCTGGGAGGCAGCGAGCCTAAGGCAGAATGGTCACAAGTTCAAGCCAAGCCTGTGCAACTTAATGACTTAGCAAAGTGCTGTCTGAAAATAAAAAATAGTGGAGGAGGAGCTGCTAGAGATGTAGCTCAGTGCAAGTCTTGTGTTTAATCCCCAGTGTCCCCCACAAAAAAAGTTATACTACAGAAAAGACCCTGGCGATCCCTAAATTCCACCCATTCTTTCATGATTAAAGAACCAGAGGCTTGCCATGGTGATGCATGCCTGTAAGCGAAGCATTCCGAAGGCTGAGACAGGAGGATCACAGTGAGTCTGAGACCAGCCTGGACTACAAAGTGAATCCCTAAAAACCTGAAAAATAAAAGGGTTGGCGATGTATCTCATTGCCTGGCATATGTGAGCCCCCGGGTTGTATCCCCAGGAGAGAAAGAAGGAAAAAAATGAACCAGAGGAGGAAAATGTATCATCCATGTATAACTGGCATTTTTCAAGCATCTCTGTTTCCGATGCTGTAGGAGAGTAACAGCCACTCCCTACCATGAACCCCCATCCAACCCTGCAACCCTTATGCACCCAGGGTCCATGGGCTCCCAGGATTAGCCCTCCTGCAGCCCACCTCATCCCCAAAACACCTTGCACCTTATGCCCTTCATGTGGACCTGAGTCTTTAAGATCTGCATGGCAAACCTGGGGCATAGCTCAGTGGCACACACAGGCAGAGCACGCATGAGCCCCAGGCTCAATCCCAGCACCAAAGAAGAAAAACATAAAAAGACCCAGAGAGCACACTGTGACAGCCTTAGAGACAAACAGCCCTGGGGGGAGGCACAGTGACTGCTGGAGGGCGAGCACAAGAAGTCTATTTTCCATGTGTCTGGAACGAGGCCGAAGCTTCCTGGGGTAATTTTAACCAGTATCCACTCTAGAACAATACCAAAAAAGGTAAGTTAGTTACCATGCCAGAGAGCCACATACCTAACCATTGGCTTTCATGAATTAGACCCTTAAAACATCCAGCACTAAAGCTGCTTTAAGCAAGGATGCCCGAGCAGCCAGGTCAAGTATTCCTCTGCTGAGCAGTCGGCCCTTTCATTGAGGTTAACTCTGCGGTGTTAGCTATTCTTACCCCCAGAAAGGCCGAGTGGCTCAGCTGTCCTGGGGAGGAAGGGTATTTTTAGACCCCAGGACAGCTGATTGGGGATTTGCTGCAGGGGTTAGAGGGCCCAGGAGGAGATTTGAATTGCAAGGGGTTTCAGGGAGAATCAAGCAACAAGAGCCAGATGGGCTTTAGGGTAAATCAGTCACACTGCCTTTTTTGATCAACAGTTTCTTGTTAGAAACCAGTGGTTCCCAAGTATGATCCCAGACCATAGCATCACCCAGTGAAAAGAAGCCACTGCATAAAAAGGAAACTTAGTCTGGAGCCAGATCAGAACCTCCAGGACTGAGGCCCAGCAGTCTGTGTTCACAAGCTCTCCCCGTGATTCTGATGCTAGTTTGAGTCACTGTCACCGGCAAACCAGCTAACCAGATGCCCTTGGGGCCAGGGCAGGAGGCAAGAATGATCTTCACTGTTGCTCTCAAGCCTTGATTGTTCCAAGCCAGGAATCCTCAATCCCGAGAAAAACACATATGTTAGGGCCCCGCTGACCCAGGCTAGAAACACCTGCTTTGGAGGCCCTTTGGGCCGAAGTCTGCTCTGCAGAGAATTTCCCGGCTGAAAGAGACCTTATGAGTCATCTCGTACAATCAGAGCAGGGATCAACGTCCTGCAGAAGCTCAGGCCCGGGTGGACCCTTTCAGAGCCCAGAGTGCAGGCTGCAGAGGAGTTTATTTCGTGGGATCCAGGAGCTGCTCACCTGAGTTAGCGCTCCTCAAAGTCTATGCCGGTTTATACCAACGGCAGCAATATGGCTGACATACAGTTTTAAGTAAGCAAACTAAACGAAATGCCCTAGTACCCTAAACGATAAAAACGAATGTCTCAGTGTGGGGGAATTCAGAAAGATGGAAAAATTCTCTTTATATTGATCTGATATACGACTCCCCAGGCTCTCCAAACCCCACCCCAATTTTTGCTGTCATCCAACAAGAGCAAAGCCAAAGGCTTGCTTTACAAAGCACAGAGCCTGCGTCTGGTCAGCCTTGCGTGGCTCGGCGGGCGCTCAGAAGATGCAGGTGCAGCCCACGGCGATGGTCTCCATGACTGCGCGCTGGCGGCAGGGCCCCGGGCGCGGAGGCTGCGGGCAGAGGCGACGGCGCACGGGCACCTGGCTGAACACCGGCACGCTCACCATGCTGCGGTCCTCCTGCATGGTGAAGGGGTTCACGCAGCCCAGACACAGGCACCGCGCCTCGGGCAGGTCCGCGGGGATGCGGCTGGGGTCGTGGTTGATGCTGCGGGGAGCAAGAAAGAGAGGGTGCGCGCGGGGTGAAAGTGGGCGGGAGAGCAAGGAGCACCTCCTCACCCGCCTGCGCCTCCCCTACTTGAGCTGGCAGACAAGGTCATTTCAGGCAAGTCACTGCTCCAGGGTTTTCCCATCTGGGGTCACCACTCAGCACCAGCTTCCTTCCACACAGCAAGATGCCGGTCACATTACTAGAGTGCGCAGTGGCCCATGGCCTCCTGCCGTTCCCCAGTCCTATTTTCATATTTTGGAAGAACTTAATCTATAGAAGTAAAATGCAAGCGCATCGAAGCCTGTCCCCTTCAAGAGGAGCACAGGGACCTGGGTCCCATTATGACTTAATTTGCAGTTCCCGTTCATTCCCGGGTGTTTTCACCCACTCACAGTGGGAGCAGGCCTGCCCTGGACTTTAGCTCATTGCGAGCAAAACAGAGGCGCTCCTTCCTGCCGCTGTGGCAGATCCTAGCACGCAGGAGCTTCCTCTGTGATCTTAACCTCCCCCGTGCCTTGTTTTCCTCTCTTGTTCAGTGGGGACAGGAAGCCCCTACAAGTATGCCACCACCGCATACCATCATCGTGCTTGGAAGCTTGTTAGAAATGTAGAACCTCCTGAGACAGCCCAGGCCACTGCGATTCACACACACAGAGAAAAGTGTGGGAAGCTGGACTCTGGAGGATCATTCCTGATGCTCCCGACAGTCAAATTGCAGGGCCTTCAAGGTGCAGTACGGTAGCCTCTGGCCACATGTGCAGACTTAAATTTAAATTAATCAAAACATAGTTCCCAGTCTGATAGACGCATTTCAGCTGTGCAAGTAGCCGCAGGGACCAGTGGAGGAACATCTAGTCAACAGTGCTACTCCAGGGCCTCCAGATGTAAGCTGCATGGCTGGAAGACCCTTGGCCTGGGCCTGTGAGTGGCCCCATCTCCACACTTACTTATACACAGCTGGCTCCTTCCGTCCCAGGCACTGAGCTAGCCTGAGCCAAGGTGAGACACTGCTTCACCAGCCCAGGCAGCAGGGTTGGTTCCAAAGCCAAAACCCCACCATGCACCTGAGTCACGTGCAGCTGCACACAGTGACACCGCGTTCCAGGTGTCAATCTGGAAAACTGATCAGGTGAGACATGGGAACTAAGGCGACTTTGATGTAGGCATTAGGAAGGTCCCTGTCAGCCGGATGTGGTGGCACACGCCTGTAATCCCAGCAGTTGGGAGGGACAGACAATAGGATCGTTGCGAGTTTGAGACCAGCCTGGGCTACAAAATGAGGTCATAGCCAGCTCAACTCCATAGCGAGACTCTGTCTCAAAAGACAAAAAAAAAAAAAAAAATAGAAGGTCCCTGTCTTGGCATGAGAGAGACATGAATGCATCCAGCAATGCCCCATAAAGAGCTGTGACTGTTCCGTGTGCACAAGGCACTCTTGCCAGACAGAGGGACATCTGGGGAAGGCCTTGCAAACACCTACACGAGACTCTGGGACAATCAGGAATGCTTTGCATGGAGATGCTTCTAGAATAAGCCTGGGAGGAAGGGACCACTATCACCTCCACTTACGGTTGGGGAAACTGAGGCTCAGAAAGGCTAATCACCTAGTCCAAAGCCTCACATCCAGTAAGGGGCAGAGGCAGGATTCAAACCCAAGTGCTGAGATTTCTGAGAGCAGGGTCCGGTCTGTCCAGTGCCGAGGACAGCAGGGAGGCCCAGCCTACCTGTAGCCCCACGGAGACAGGCTTCTCTTGTTAGACAGCCAGAGCTGCAGGTTGACCTCGCACTTCTTCGGGGCTGGCTCGGAGCTGTTCCTCAGCTGGGCCACCATCTCAGCCAGGTTCCTCTCGTACTCCTCCATGCGAGCGAAGGGCTTCACCCGAGACACCAGGTCCAGGGGGACCTGGGGAGGCCCAAGGGCCAGGGGCCCAGGCCGCCCTTGACCCTTCTTCTTGCCTTTGGGGCTCCTGGGCTGGCCCAGCCCCAGGAAGATGGAAATAGCAAGAAGGAGAAGCTGGAGAGAAGAGAGCACGCGGGTCAGCGCAGGGACAACCAAGTCTCTGGGCCAAGGCTCAGGGTGCAGGGAGGAGAGGGCAGAGGGGGCCTCTGTGGGGTCACCTGCAGCTGCCGCGCTCTGGCTACCCTGGTCCGCTCTATGATGGGCATCAATAACTCCTTCTTCCTCCCCGCACATCCAAATCACCTTGAAGTCCTGAAAGCTGGATGTCTCCTACCCCCCCCATTTGTTTCCCCTATAGCACTTCACCCCCACCTCCAGCCCCACAGCAGGCAGATCTGCAGCCTCCTGGCCACTCTTCCACTCGGTGCTCCAGGCCAAGGCCAGGGACACAGCTGTTGGAAAGGCAATGTGGCAGTGTCACGTTTGTCTAACACCTTCCACATCGCCCTTAGAGATGACCGAGGCCCCACCCTTCTTCCTCACCCTTCAGCCCCAAACTCTGTCCCTCTCCAGTCACTTGCTCTCTTGCCTTGGGGACTTTGCACAGGCCTCTGCCTCTTCTCTATAGTGGCTCAGGGCTTGGAGCCACAACTTGCATAACTGGCATTTGACATTTGCATATCTGATCCTTTTGCATGCCTGTCCCTAGGAAGCACAGATTCTCCCAGGGCATTGATTGGGTCAGTTTTAACACCCTGTGTACCCCCACCCTCCTCCCACCCCTTCAGCCTGCTGTGATGCTGGACACACTTAGGCATTCAGGAGCACAGGTGAGTGAAGGAATGTCGGCCACCTTCCCAGGCCTTGTATAGCTGACCAGCCAGGAGAGAGGGCCCCAGTGAGAAGCCCAGGGATGGGCCAGTGCAGGGCAGCTGGAGGAGCGCTGGGCTCCCACTTAGCCTGTGCTGGAGCAGCAGTCTGGACAAGTTTTTTAGGGAAGGGGACCTGGCAGGTAAAGCTTGCAGGATGGGGGAGGCAGACACGCCCACAGGGAATATACCTGAGTCGGTCACAAGGTCATAAGCTGGGGTGAAAGGAAAGAGTGAGGCTGAAGGAAAGAGGGGTTGGTGGAAGGAAGGGAGCATGAGATAAACAGGGTGAGCCAGGTAGGTCTCCAGCTCCCCACGGGGTGCCACCACTGGGTCCCTGCCCTCTTCCACACCACTAATGGCCACCCTCATCCAATGTTGGCTGCCTCCTTCCCTAGGCACATCACATCAGGAAAGCCGGTAGCTCCCAGGGCAAAAGCAGACTGCCCAGGAAGCCAAGGGAAGAAGACCCACCAGTGCCTGGGTGGAAGGCAGCGCTGGCCAGATGCATGAATTTCCAGGTGAGTTTTACCTCTGGCTGCAGCTAGGCAGGCCCATTCCTTCCTGGCATCCCTTTCCCGAAGCCCACAGGCCCTGCCTGACCCAGGCCTCCCAGCAAGCCTGGACCCCAGGGAACAAGCTCCAGCATAGCCCCTCTTGGCAGAGCCATTTCCTGGCACTCATCTATAAGAGATTCAGGTTGCTAAATTTTCCCTTTTTGGGTCTAAATTCTGGTGCAAAAAAAGCTGCCCAACAATGGACTCTCTCATCTGAGCTTCTCACATGCTACTTTTTTTTTTTTTTTTTTTTTTTTTTTGAGACAGGGTCTCACTATGTAGTTCAGGTTGGCCTTGAATTCACCACGCAGCCCAAGCCGGGTGCTAGGATTACGGGCATGTGCCGCCATGCCCAGCTTCCTATCCCACTCTTAAACCCTGGCTTTCTGATCAGAGCAACCCAGAGGAGACTCAGGGGCCCCTCCCTCACTTGTCAGAAGGGAAACAGAAACAGAAGGACTTGCCCAAGGTCACACAGCCCACCCAGGGCCCAGGAGGCAGGCTGGAAAATCCCGATTCTGAGCTTGCCAGGATCTCCCCAGATGCCTCGGCCTGAAAGAGCTTCACTGTGCATGGCCGAGGCTCAGGCTGAAGCCCAAGCTACCGGCCATGGCTGCAGGCTGTGAGACCAGTCTCTGTTTCTCTCTAGTCCTGCAGGAGAAGACAGAGGGGGAACACACCTCCACAGACTCCAAGGCAAACAGAGGCAGCCATTAATCAATCAATAGGACAGAAACGCTGCAGCATGCAGGCTCTAGGGGGGCGGGGGCGCGCCACGTACCAGGTTGTGCGGCCAGTCCATCCCACCAAGCCGGCCGTCCGCCCGCAGCTGCCGCCGCCCGGAACCCCAGATGCCTCTGTGTAGAGAATGGCAGCGACAGGATGGAGTGAAGCAATTATAGCTGCCAGGGGGCTGCCGGGGGAGTGGGTGGGTGGGCTCGTCATCAGCCAGGAGACTCGGGCCCCAGCTGGCTGGGCCTAGCGCAGAGGCAGGCGGCAAGGGGTGTGGGGGCAGGCCAGGAGCGCACCGAGGTGCCCAGGAGCTGTTGACCAAGGGACAATGCCCTGTGTGTCTGGTGGGGCTCTGGCCGGTGGCACCTCTGCCTGTGGCCTGCGGCCGGCTGGCTGGCCAGTACCCGCAGGGCCAGCTAAGACAATCAGCTTCGTTTGCTTTGGGGATGGCCAGGGTGAGGGTGGAGGAGGACTGGTCTGCTGGTTGGTCAGTAGAGGGTGTGGGCTGAGACCAGGACACAGGCCCTATCTCCCAGTGAAACCAGCCCAGGCATTCCCACCTCTGCCCCACTCACCCAAGCTGCAGGCCCACCCTCTACTTCACAGAAGGGAAACTGAGGCTTGAGCACAGGGATCTGTGTTGGTGACGGATCTAGGGGTAGTGCCTGGTTCACATCCAGAACTCCATCTGCCGCCCCACACTGTTTGTCTTGGGACATTTCCTGCACAAAGCCAGCCTGCTGTGAAGCTGTGAGCGTCACATGAGCTGCTGACCTGCAGGTCCAGAAGCACATCATGGCTGACGGCATGCTCTCCTGTGTATACAAGGCCTGGCCCCTAGGTGGTGCTTGAGACCCTCCTTCTCCTTCAGCCTCAATTTCCCTTTCTGTAAAATGGAAGCCATGCCCTCAATCATTGCTGCTGAAGTCTTTCTGAGCCTTGGGTTGCATGTCTCTAGAACAGGAATGGCATTCTACCTACCCCTCAAGGCTGCCAGAAAGAGTAAAAGAAATAACTCATGTTAAATAGCTGGCAAGTGCCTGGCATATAATAAGTGCTCAACAAATACTTCACTGTTTATTATAAAAACTATGATAAAATTACTTTATACCTGTGATTGCAAACATTAGCCATTAGCATTGGTGCTAGCATGTCCTCATCACTCAGCCAACTGCCCGCTCCGCCATCACACCCTCCCTCCTGGCTGACACAGTTCCAGTCTTTCCAGATTCAGGCCACGACTTCATGAGCTCAGGTGACCCCGGGGTCCACAGGGCCTGGACTCACATGCATGCTTAGGTCTCTCACCTCGAGTGAGCCGCCGAACGTGAGCGGACACAAGTCCACCCAGGGAGACAGGAGTAGGGGAGTGTGAGGACGAGAAGCCACTGTGAAAGCCAGTGCTGCCCGGTCAGGCTGAGGACCAGCCCTGGCCATTTACAGGAATAGGCGAGGGGAGGAAGGCAGGGCGAGAGGCGCTCCTGAGTGTCACAAGATTAATCTGCCCAGGGCAGGTCTCCACAGCATAGCTGAGAAGCTGGCTGGGGCCCGAGCGTTTCGAGAGATACCACCATATTTGGTCAAATACTAGACAGGACTCTGTTCTGTCGCTGGAAACTCCAGAGGGAGGGGGATTCTGAAAATACCTCCTTGGGCAGCAAGGGCCCCCACCCCCAGCCCTGGCCATCCCATCCCCACCCCACTTTCCTCTGAGCCAGTGAGATGGTCAGTCCAAGGGGCAAGCAGGGGAAGCTGAGTGTGTTCTTTGGTGGCCCTCTGCAGCTGGGCGATCTTTCCTCATATGCACGGAAAGTGGGGTGCTGGGCTGCAGGGGCTCTTCCACCCCTCAGGACTGCCGAGACCATCAGTCTCCTGACCTGCTGGCACATACACCCTGCCTTCTGCCTCCCAAAGCCAGAACTCAGTGGCCTCCCCAGCTCCTGATAGTGACTCTGGAGTCTCAGCCTGAATCCCACAGCTGGTGACCTAGGAATCTGCATTTTAACCTGAGCCTAGTCTGGCGGCTGCAGGGGTCCTCACCCCTCATCTAGCTTACTCCCTGTACCCATTTCACTGAAGGAGACTAAAGCCCAGAGAGGGAGAGTCCCTACCTACCCAAGCTCACTCAGCACGCCTGTGCTGGGGCTGGGAGCAGAACAAATCTCCAATACTTTCCATTGTATCTCCCTCAAATTTATAGGGCAGCCCGGGCCAGGCTAGGGCTCCTAGCTCGTCCGGTGTGGGCCACGGAGCTAATTCCCTCACTCTAGTGGAGCGTGGACGCTCCCAAGGCAGGTGTGCAGTTACTAGCCTTGGATTTCTCACTTCTGGCCCATCTTGAAAGAGCCTTTGGCTTCGGAAAAACCATGGAGGGTCGTCTTCCCCCAGGGACATCCTGAGTGCAAAGCAGGTAGCACGGCCCAGGGGGCTGCCTGCCCATGAGGCCGGAGCCCTTGGGTGTTGGTCCGCATGGAGGAAGAGGTGCTGGGGAAGGAGCGCCAGGGAATGGGCGCCAGTCTGCGCTGGAGGCCGCTCCCCCGAGGTCCCGGGGAAGCAGTGTCGCGTTTACCACCAGGTGGCGCTCGCAGGAAGCCAGACGGCGGCGAGGAGCGCGGCAAAGCCCGCGGAGTGAGGTCAGGCCTCGGCTGCTCGGGTTTGCAGAGTGACCCCGGGATGAAGGCGGACCAGGGCTCAAGACGCCGTCCCGGAAGGGCAGGAATACACAGCCCACCAGTGTGAAACGAGGACTTGGTTGCCCTGCTGCACACGAGACCCTGAGTATAGGGCACCTGGATACCATGATGCTCCGAAAATGATAATTATTAATGGAAAAGCTGCTGCTTACCGCACAGCCACTAACTTCCAGGCCTGGTACTCTGCCCGAGGCGTGCTGTTCACCAGACCCTCACTCCCAGGATCACCATCTTGTAGTGGGGTAAGGGTGCTGCAGCCTCCTGCAACGTCCTCAAGCAACCTGGGCCCTGCCAGGCCAAACTAGAGTTCACAGGGGGATGGGAGGGCTCTGGCACATGGCAGGTGCCCACTGAACATTTGATACATTGGGTAGCATCAGCTGCCTGGGAATGCTGGAATGGTGAGTGGGCGGCCAGAACAGTGCTGGCTCAGAGGAGAGCTACAGACCCCCAGAGTAAACTCAGGTCCCTCCAGTTCCCAGACCTGAGTCTTGGTCCTGTCTCTACTCCGTCACAGCGTGTAGGCTTGGGAAAGTGGCCTGACTTTTCTGTGGGTTCAGCGGCTTCTGCACTGTGGAGCTGGTAACACTTGGCTGTCTGTTATGGTGCGGCTCACATGCGATGACAGAGGTGAATGCACATACTTAACTGTGCCTAGCAAAAGAAAGCCCAGTGAATGGCACCGCAACTGTCACTGCTAGTGTTCAAAGAAGTCTGAGCTGGGCTTTCAGGGATGCTCGTGGTGTTCCCACGGAGGTAGGGACCTGAGAGGTCAGGACGAGCCTGGCACCAGTGAGAGAATGCGGAGGCCGCTCTTCAGTGGGCCCACTTGGAAGGACACAAGAGACTTAGTCTAAAACCTCGCTCAAGCGGGCCGAGAGAAGTGGAGGCTGGCCGGCGCCTCTGCTGGATGCACCCCCGCCCCCACCCAAGAGCCTGGCTCCGGTGCAGTGCCCCCTCCCCGGGCAGGAATCCTTCTCCCAGGCCCATATTTGCACAAATGCCTGCCTCACTGCTCACTCCAGAGCCCCAGCCAAGAGGGGCTATTTTAAGCTCCCTGGATGGGAACATTGTTGGTGGGAACAGCCCCAGCCAGCAAGCTCCCGGCTCTCAAAAAAGGGAAAGGCTTGGGTAAATGGGTGGCCCCTGGGACCTGCAGAGGGGCTGTCATGTCATCGTTACCCCCTGTTCAGGCCAGGTGCCAGAGCCTGCACCCCTGCAGCTGGGGAAGTGGGAGTTGGGGTACGGCTGTCTGATGGAGTGCACAGATCATCCTTCTGCCAGTATCCGGCTCAGAGACACCGGGTCCATTCTCCTGGGTCAGTGAGTGATCACACTCAACCTAGTGCTTGTTAGCACTCACCATCCCCCGACCGTGCGGGGTAGGGGTTGTCTCATCCAGCCTTTACAAATGCTGGGCCCCTCCAGAGGCTCTGTGGTGATGACCTCCCTCAGGAGTACTAATATTTGGCCAATGTGGCTGTTTTCATTGTAACTTGGTTTGGTTTGGTGTGTGCCTGTTTGTCGTGTACTGTTTTAGTGGGAGTATGTACTATTTTTGCTTTTTGATTCTTGTGAAGAGCCAGTTTAGACTAATATTTAAAGCATAGGCTTTGAACCAGAGTGACCTGCACCCCAGTCCACTCTGCCCCCCAGTGCAGCATCTGTGGTGCCTTGTGCAAGTGACCCAACCTCCCCAAGCCAGGCCTCGAGGTAGGCTGGCTGGCAAGGCCATGCTCCCAATGTGCCTGCTCAGAGTGGCTGCTCAGAGCATGGCCCTGCTATTATTTTGTTGTACACATTATTCTCAATTCTGCCCAATCGGGTGGCACAGAACCATTCTAGTCAGTTCTAGAACTTTCTGAATGCCAGGAATAAAATGGAATGCCCTGGGGTGAGCTCCCCATCTGCCCAGGCATCTCAGCAGAGCCTGGAAGACTGATGGGACCACTGTGAGTGGTGTGAAAGATGGGAAAAGAGGTGGTCTTCTTAGATTTTAAAAATTGCCTTTCAAATTGGGTGTGATAATGCACACCGGTAATCCTACCTCACTGGGAGACTGAGCAGGAGAGGGATCTAGATTTGGAGCTTAGCCTGAGGAATTTAGCCAAACCTTGTTTCAAAAATTAAATAAGCAAATAAAAAAGGAGAACCAGGCATGGTGGTACACACCTGTGATCTCAGCATTTGGAAGCTTGAGACAGAAGATCATTGCAAGTTGAAGGCCAGCCTGAACTATATAACAAGACCCTGCCTCAAAAAAAAAGAAAAAAAGGCAGGAGATGAAAGGGGAGGATGTAGCTCAGTGTGGAGGCCCTGGATTCAATCCTCAGTACTTAAGAAAAATGCTACCTCTCAGCACTGAGTGTCTGGATCTTCTGCCCAAAGCACTGGACCCCTGTGGGGCTGCCTGCCTTCATTTGCCCAGACCAGAGGCACGAAGGATCCCAGGGAAGCTGGTGGGGGAATGTGGGATAAACAGCAGTCCTTGGGGCAGCTGAGGTGGCGGGGCCCCTGGCCAACCGCACAGCCCGCCTCCCCGCTCCTGCCCCCCGGTCCCAGGGGATGTTTATGCTCTGGTCAGAGTTTACAGGACGTCTGGATTTACAAGATCCAGGATTCTGACTTTTTCCCCCAAAGCTGTCAGCCCCACCTCTTGCTGGGTGGCTCCCTGTCTATTTGGGGTCGGAGGCCCCGCCCTGCAGCAGAAGGAGGGAAAGAGGGTGAAGGAGGGCGGTCAGCCTGAGAAATGTCCCCTGCAGGCCCCAAAGCGGGGACCTGGTGGAGGAATTCAGCCAGGCTGTGGGGTGAGGAGGAGGGGGCTGGGGTGTCCTGGCTGCTGACAGGAGTCTGGGAGCAGGGCGGGGCAGGAGCGGGCTCCTCCGTGTAGCTCAGTGCCCGCTGCCTGAGCCACTGTGTGTTGCAGACCATGTCTTGCACATGTGCTCTGTTTGGGTATCATTTTGCAAAATTATCAAGGATACGAGCCGTTCATAGTCACAGACAGGAAGCCTAAGCTCGGGACGGGCAGTGCAGAAATGCTAAAGGTGGGCTGGGTATTTAGCTCCGTGGCATAAATGCCTGCTTGGCAAGCACAAGGTTGTGAGTTCGATCCCTGGTACAGAAAGGAAAGGAAAGGAAAAGGAAGGGAAGAGAAGGGAAGGAAAGGGAGGGGAGGGGAGGGGAGGGGAGGGGAAGGGAGGGAAGAGCACAGACATTGCTGAAGGACACCCATGGTTAGCCACTTGAGAAACAGTTTGGAGGACCAACGACAACTCTAAGACACAGGATATCACCCTGAACAAACAGATTTAACAGGTGTCAGGGTCCCTGTCCCCCTCCTCCTGACCCCGTGAAGCACATGGACTCCTAGAGCCCTGGTAAATCCCACTGTGGCCTCCCGAAGGGCTTGCCTCTGTAGCCCAGACCAGTAGGAGACAGGGCTTCGAAGCTGCTCCTGGAGGAAGTCTAAATACCTCTCCTGGTGAGCTCTGCTGGTGTCTGTGAGCCTCGACCTTCAAGGCATCAGCCTGTTGGCACTGAGGAGCTTTGAGCATTCTCAAGGGCCCATCTGTGTCCTTAACAGCACATCCCTGTGCCCACGCTGTGCTGGGCCTGGCGGTGCTGCAGGGGACAGCTAAGATCTGAGTTTATATTCTAGTGGAGGGTGGCAGATACAACAGTGCCAATACTTTAGGACCAGCCTGTGGCTCAGGGACTGTGCTAGGCCCTGTCCTCTCTG